CTTCCCCCAGGACCACAGGCTCAGCAAAGACGTGACCCTTTCTACCTCTCCGGTGTAGCGTGTGTATTAGTTGCATCGGAACGGGACTGAGGCTTTCCGGCCCTGTCTTAATTGTAGGAGGTGTTGACCTGACAAAAGCGTCTTAATTCCTCTTAGAAGCTTTTACTTATGAGAAAGGAAAAAACTTTGTTTTCCTTTTTAAATCTGTTCCTCTCTGCAAGCCAAATAATAATGCTATATGGCCTGTGCAGGAAAGCGCTTTCAAAGAAATAATTAAGTGAAATTTCAAACAGATTTGATGTGTGGACTCCCGTGCTGGAAGACTGAAGGCTGTTGGAGTGCCACGGAGCTGCTTGTACCCAGGGAGATCTGATCAAAGTACCGCTGAGCAGCTCCATCCCTAGGAGATGATCTGCCTGAAAGAGGAGATCTTTACAGCTGCACTGACCCCACAGTTAGCCTGACAGGGAATATCTGAGTTCACCTTTTATCAACTGCAAAAGTTACTTGAAAAGAACTTTGTAAATTGGCGAATGATTTTTCTAGGTAGTAAATTTAAATTACCACTGAAATTTTGGGTGCTGTTTTGTCCACACGCTGAGCTTTGACAGCATGGCATTTGATCTCTTTCTTCCTGCTTAACTCAGTTTTGGGGATTTGGAGGGTTACCCCATTGGTTTCCTCATCTTTATTTCATCTTCATGGATAGGAGGTGAACATACTCCTGCTTTTTACTGACCAGTACAGCAATGGTTTTCTTTATCTCTTTCTGCCTCTGTGTAGTGATGGGGAAATCTTACTTGGGTTCAGAGCTGTTGAAGGAGAGATGAGGGAGAGCCTCCCTCGTCTGTGCTTTCTGTGCTGTGGGATCTGCAGCTTGGATCTGGGAAACTCAATTATGTCCCTTAACTGTTGGCTGGTTAAGATGGATTTTGCTGCATGTGCGGGCATAGGGTTCTTCTCCTCCCCCTCCCCGCCCTGTTACTCAGGCTCCAGATAACATGATGGGGTTCTTAACCTGTAGCAAGACTTGTGTTTTTTCTGTTTCTCTTTGTAGCAATATGTCTGAAGAAATGAGCGTTATATTGGTCACTTTATTTCCCTTGTCTGAAAGAGATGAAATGTGCTCTCCTGTGTGTTAACATAGGAGTCCTTTTATTTAATAGCTGGAAGAATTAGGTGCTCGTTTTAATCCTGCAAGTGTGGCTAAGCCAAATATGCCTCCTTACGGTTCCTGAAACTTGTGCTTAAAATAGACTTAAAAATTCTCCTGGATGGCTTAGAAGGTGCAGACCAGAGATCGCTTTCCCTGGTAGCCAGAGGACTTCCCTTGCCTGCATTAGGAAACGTCCCAGTAGCACAAGTTTAGGATGACTTCCTAACATGTGTGTTCCCTCCTGAGATTGCTGTGTCCTGGAACAGTCTCTGTAGTTGTGAATTAATTCAGGGTAGTTTGATCATACTTAAATGTTTACTCCAGAATAGCTATGCTGGTTGGTCTGTATTGACAAGCCCTGGTGTTAGGACCAGCTCTGTCCTAACTGGTTTCTCTTTAAGAGTGCAGATATGGTGGAAATAAATGGCTTCCTTTGTGTCTTTTGAAATGAATGTAAATAACTGATAGCTTGCTTGATCTGGCATAGCGCGGTGTCTTTTGCAAGAGTTCTTCAAACTTTCTTCTTCAGAGCAACCTTGCCAAATTCCCGTGAGAATGTACAAATTAAGGGTGAGAATCAAATTGCATGTTACTCTCTGGTGGAGTGTTGAAAATAAATAAGCTTACAGTTTCTAATCACTCCCTTCCCACCACATTGACCTTCCGCTGCAGTAGGCTTGCTTCAAAACTCACGTCTATGTCTTTTTTTTTTTTTTTTTTTTTTTTTTTTTATTTTCCCCACCCAGGTCCCTTCTACTGCTGTTTGGTGCAATGGGCAGCTTGCGTGATAGTGCTGTCAGTTGAATACTTTAATTGGTTTAAGGAGAGAGGCTTTTTTTTTTTTTAAAAGAAGTTTGGTAATTAGCTGGGTAGGTGGGGTTTTAAAGCTCACTTTTGGGCAGGAGCAAAACATACTTAACCTAAACACAGAATGAAGGCTTAGGAGGAGGAGATTAAAAGCCAAGCACAGCAGGATGTATGTCCTTACGCTGTTGTGGAAGATGGAAGATGAAATGAGTAGTTCTGTACTTGTTCTGGTGCTTAGGCTGAACAGCCGGAGGATTGGTGGTGGGCATATTATTAATGTTCTTTGCTCACAACTGCAAAGTAAGTATCTGTTTTGCTTCTATGCTGCCAGGCAAGAAAATTTTAAGAGAGAGCTGCAGCACATTCCTACTCCCTTCTTGCTCTAATATCTTAAAGTGTGAATAAACATGATTTCTGAAGCAGTCTGCAAAAAAGCTTTTCTTCTAAAAAGCATTATTTACTTAAAAATAAACAAACAGCTTTTGGAAGAGGGGCAATTTTCTATTCCCATCGACAGACCTTCAGTCTCTACCAGCACTGTCAAATCTATTTGCCTACAAGTCGAGCAGACTGAGTGTTTAACTTACTTGAATTCAGCCATTCAAATTTAATGCAAGGAAGTAGCAGGTACCCTTTATACTGGCCTAGGAGATGACCTGCCTGACTTTTCTCAGTGCAAAGAGATACCTCATTTGAAGTAAGTCCACTTCCAGCAAATCTGACGTGAGCCATTGCTGTAAAGGGGAGCAAGGTGTTACCTGTTCCAGGATTAATTTGTGTCCTGGCTCCTTAGCTGTGGCAGGGAGTGGATAAGTGAGAAAGTAATTTTTGGAAAGAAGCTAGTGAACTGTCTCCACTGGTCTCCTTTTTCTTGCTCACAAGGGTGTGGGCTTGCCACCCCCCACCCTCACCCCCCTTTTGACAGTTTTCCTAGGTCTCTGCTCAAATGCTCTCTGGCACCTGCTCTTGGTGTTTTTCGCAGGCAGATCTCTGCATGTGTCATCCTAAATCCAAAGCTAGCTCCCTGCCTGCCAGAGCTACAAGAATTCAGCTTGAAAAGCCTCATGTTGTAATACTAATATTTTAAGATTGGCCCACTTTCTACGAGCCATTGTACGGCTGCTTTCCTGGTGGCCTGGATGGCTTTGGAGGGCAGCAGTTTCTCAATCTTATCTGGAGACTTTGAGTCATATGTTTTGATCTTATTTATATCTGTCTCCACTATTATGTTATACTAAAGATCAAGAGTTAACAGCCTGTTACAAAGAAGTCACAGTAACTGTGTGAAGCAGCTCTGAGCTCTTGTTTTCTGAATCGCATGGCAGCCTTGAAAAAACGCCTATATTCCTTATTAAAATCATTGCCAACTGGACTTTAAAAGATTTTTCTTTCCTAAAAACCTTGTCAGATTTAACTTGATGATCTTCTTTTCATGCTCTGTTGGTCTTGTATTGTCTGTTTTTAATAGTGTGTATGTTTGGTGGCTATATTTAGTGTGGACATAGGACCTCAAGAAAAACTTTGTCCATTTCTTTTCTAGTTCCTCTTCCTGCTCCAAAGAAAACCAAGCCCCAACAACCTGAAACCTAATTCCCTTACTTTTGAGGGACCAGGGAAGAATACCTAGACCTACTTACTCCTCTTTTGAGCACATAGATCCTCTTTTTGGAAGCAGGTAGGAGAGCAAGTGATTGGTAGCCCAGGGATCCAAAGTTCTGCATTACTGTTGTTGGTCTGAGTTTTTTTTTCTGTTATGAGGTCGTTTACCTTTCTGGTACAGCTCTAACACAGGCTTGTAGGTGGCTTCTTTCCAGGTCCCTTTCAGGTTTTATGGGTTCCTTGAGTCTAGACTTCCCATGAATAACCTTTATTTAATGGATCTGAATGCTCACTTTGTAGCTTATCTAACATGTTGTCTGTCTCCTGAGCCATTTTTCTGTGTAAGCCTGTGACTGCAGCATTACGAGAAACTGGAAGAAACTACATAAATCCCTTCTGGGATTATCAAAGGCATGTAAAACTCCTTCTTGGAAAACAATATCATTTTCATGGCTGCTTGGCTAACAAAAGGCATCTCCTCTGATCCTTTCGGATCAGAGAAAGGTGTTGAGGAGGTCCAGCGTGAAGAGAGTAAGGGAGTGGTAGGTGGGAGGGAATTTGCCACCAAGATACAGAAGACTTAGCATGATATGCCTGCAGATTTGTTCCCTGAACAAAAATTGCATGTGGGGGTGGGGGTTGCCTCGTGACAAACTGTTTCTTGGCTGTCTGACAGCGTAGCACCCGCAGGTACTGCGCTGCCAAGAGCTTTGCTGGCCTTGCAGAGCTCCTGGGGGATGCGTGCTCGTTCCGCTGGAGAGGAGCGGATGTGGGTTACTGCAGGCAGCCCTCCTGCTGGTATGCTGAGGGGGAGGCGTCAAAGGGAATGCATCGGAGAACAGCTCCAGTTATTCCTGGGCTCCCTACTGTGAAGCTTTTTTAGGGACCAGAAGAAGAGACGCTGCTGGAGAGCAGGAGTGCTTCTTCACATTGGCCTTGGTGAGGAGCCCAGCTGGAGGCTCCGTTCTGCTGCTGAGAATAGAAAGAAACATGTGGTTCAGGT